AGGCAGGCTAGCATTTAACTTGCTACATATGTACGTAAGAGATGTTGTTTCTTTCACGATGTATATCATGTTATATACAATATCAAATAAAGAAATGATACTTACCTATGAGGGGAAACCCCTCCAAAAAAAAATAATTAAAATAATTATAGCATTGAATTATAATTGTATCAATTGTATTAACTATAAAAAAAATTCATTTAACTATATTACTAAATTCTTGATTTTTAATTGCATTTAACTTAATTCAATAATTTCTGTTACATATATAAGTTTAAAAATATTATCTTTTAAAGGCTTATAAAATTAGAATCTTTGAATATATTATATTTTTTATATATTAGTGCCAGGTTTTTTTATTAAAATTCTTAATTTTTTTAGTATTTAGTATTTAATTTTAAAAGGATTTGCTGTTTTATTCTTATAAAAATCTTAAAAAACTTTTTTCAATTCTTTTAATTAAAAATTTTTTTTAATCTTATTATATTATATCAATTGTTTTGAATTTTACTCTTAAATTCATATTATCTTTTTCATTAATTATCTAGTATATTATAGTTACTTTTATATTTTTGAAATATTTTTTGATAGTACTGTTTTATTTGATTTAAAATTTCTTTTTTATTAATTATAAAATATATTTTTCTTTTTTTATTTAATATTTTGATTCTATCTATTGTTATTTTTTCTCTGAAATTATTTATTAATATTTTTACAATTATTTTTTAATTGTCCTTAAGATTTTAACATCAGGTTTTAATTGTTTTAAGAATTTTTTAATTGAATAGTTTTTTTTTCAATAAATATATTTTCTATATTATCAATTTAAAGTTATATATATGTTTTTTTATTTAAGATAAAATTATGTTTTGATTTTTTATACTTTATAGTTAGGACTTCTAACAATACTATTTTGATACTACTTTGATATTAGTTTAATATTATTTTAATTAGTTTAATACATAAATTTACTATATATTCATATAAGTAGATCACAATCCATATATTAAATTTATTATAGATTGGTATTATTTTGATACTAGTTCAATACCAGTTCAATACTTTTTGAAGTCCTAATTGAAATATAATGAAATATCTTTATAAGGTTTATGTTTGAAGTATATTTTTAATACAAAATCTAATTATATTAGTTTTATTTATAAAAAATTTTAATTCTACTAAATATTAAAAAATTCTTAAATTTTGTTTTTTTTTTATAATTTTTTAGGTTAACTTATTATAAGTTTTATTTTTAACAAAATAGGTTTTCTATTTATAATTTAAAAAATATATATTGTTTTTTTTAAAATAAAAATATTTAAATTTTTAATTGATTTGTCTATTTATTAAATCTAAATTCAATTAAGAATTTATAAACAATACTTAAAAAAAAGATTTAAAAAGAATTAAACTTAAATTTAATAAAAAAAATTATTTTTAAATAATATTTTTCAGCAAATTATTTATTAAATATAGGATAAATTAAACAAACAAAAACCTATTTTTTATATTAACAATATATATGAAAATTCATGTTTTAGAAGTAATTAATTAAAAAAAAAAAAAGCTAAATAATTAAAAAAAATTTTTTTAAATAGTAATTATATACTGTATATATAAAGTTTTAATAAAAATTAATAAAAAAATTTTTTTTTGATTTATTATAAAAAATTTCAAAAATTTCAAAAATTTATTGTAATTTCTTCTACTTTTTTCTTTAGTTTTTGTAAAACATATTTATTTTAGTATAGATTAGTATTTATAATAATATATTTTAATATATTATTATTGTTATAAATTTTATACTTAGTTAATTTTGTAAAAATTAAATTAAAAATCAATAAAAAATTACAATTTGAGAAAAATCCCATAAAAAAAAAATATAATATAAATAAAAATATTGTTTTTTTAAACATATTAATTAATTTTCTTAATAAATTACTATTAATTATTTTTGTATAATTTTTCAGTTTTTTTAATTTTTTTAATATTATATTATATTATTAAAAGAAAAAACCTAATAAGCTTATATTTTTAATATAAAATATATATTTTGATTTCAAAAATAGAATAATTTTTATTTACTTTTTTTGTTACTATTTCATCTATAATATTACATATTGCACAATATTGAACAAGTCAAAATGATTTTACAAACATGATTTTCAATCTAATAACATGTTATTGTGCTAAAAAATCTCATAAATATAACCAAAAATAGTATTTATATGAAATAACAATTTTTTGACACTATAAATTGTAATTTATACAATAAATTTATTAAAAAATTTAAAACTATAATAATTTATCTTTTAAAATTTTATAAAAAATTGCAAAAATCCTTTAATAAATTTCAAAAAATAATACTCAATAAAAACTGTGCATTGTAGCACCTTTCACTTAAAAAAAAAAAGTTTTTTCAAAAAATAAAAAATAAATATTTAAAATATTGTAAGCATTGCTACTTCTTAAATATTTTTAATTTATCACAAAGATTAAAAATTAATATACTAATATGTAAATTATACTGAACATATATTTGTCACTTTCAAACAAAATGGCGTTCTCAAATCTATTTTATATATATATTAATAATATATCTATAGTAAAAACTTGAACGTTTAATTATAGAAAAATTATTAACAATCTTTAGAACTAGATATTTAAATTACTAGAACAATTAATTAGTAATTATTACGAATGGGGTTCGACACCTGACAATTATTTCTCATCACGTACATGACTAATTCAATATAATTGACCATTCATGTGGAATTTCTCCATATTGTATGCCCAGTAATGTATCCGCAAATCGTCGAGTGACTGGTCCGGCTTGACTAGAGGCGTCATTTGGATCTAAAGGCACTTTTAAATTTTGGCCCCTATAATAAATGCCTTCGATGGGACTGACAATGCAGGCAGTGCCTGAACCGAACATTTCTATCAATCGACCGTCTTCTGCAGCTTTTACAACTTCCGGCATAGTAATTTTTCGCTCGGAGACCTTAAATTCATTCCATGAACGGGCAAGACTTAATATAGAATCACGCGTCACACCCGCAAGAATAGATCCATCCAGAGGTGGTGTCACAAGTTCAGTTTCTAATAATGTTAACGATATTATTAACTCAAGTATTGCTTAATAATAATGATAGAAGGCAAACAATACTTACCACCAAGTTCGTTTTTCAAAAGGACAAAGCAATTCATTGTACCTACTTCGGTAAGTTCATCATTCTCACCAAATAACCACAGATTTTGATGATAACCCTTTTTTGATGCATCGATTTGTGGCTTTACACATGGTGCATAATTCCCACCAATTTTTGCATCTCCGGTGCCGCCGGGCCAAGCTCTTACATATTCTGTTGTAGCTAATAATCTAACAGCACTAAATCCTGTCTTATAGTATGGTCCTACCGGTGAACAAATAACAAAAAGAAGAGCACGTCCAGTTGAATTAACCCCTAAAGACTCTTGGGTACCAATGAGGGTTGGACGTATATAGAGCGAGTATCCTCTTTCTACAGGAATCCAACGTTCCTCAAGACGAATAAGTTCTTTTATGCACTCAAGTAACTCTTCTCCGTTAAAGTCCTATTAAAAGGATAATGTTACATATAAGCTTATGATCAAATTCAATCAATTATTTTTTAAACGGATATTAACGGATATTTAAATAGCATTTATGCAACTAACTGGTAATGAGATCCTTGCGGCTGATTTTTTAAATCTCTTCATGTTCATGTCTGGTCTAAATAATCTTATTTTTCCATTCTTATCTTTATAAGCTTTTAGGCCCTCGAAACACTCGAAAGAATAATGGAATACCATAGCACTAGGATCAAGAGAGATCTTACCATAAGGTTGAATAAGAGGATCAGACCACCCATTTTCAGCACTCCATTGTATATTTAGCATATGATCTGTGAATTGACGTCCAAATACAAGATCTTTGGATGGGATGAGTGATTTTAAATGTTGCGGGCGTTGGACTCTTAATTTTTTATGCTGCAATACATAAATCATACGGTTTTACTTTAGTTCAAATACAAATATATTTTTTCTAGTACGTTGTTTCAAATATTTCGGAATTACATGTACAGATATGTTGTCATTATATCATATATTATGAATGTTGAACGTTATCAGCGATTGAACGAAGGTCATATAGGACTAAAAACTTACATCAATATCAGCTATTGTGCTTTGAAAGCGAACTTGTCGTAAAATAACGGGATACCGTTTAACTTTGAGAGGCAATGTAAGCCGAGTTAATACTTGTTTCGAAAAAAAAGAAAACATTGTCGCTCGAAAATTTAATCATTGTCAGAAAGATTATATATTGTATGTTCGACACGTACAGATCCAGTATAGGATATTTTAATGGTACATGCAGTGGGTAAACACAAAAAAGGAAGTGATCGGATCGACGCACAATCTTTACGTATCAAATATAGAAGTAAATTAAATTTATTTAGAAAGTCTTTTAACTTTATTTAAATTTTTGAAGCTATAATGTTTTTCGACTATAAAAATTTTCAGTTCAACTTACTTTCAAATATATAAATTATTTGGTAACCAGGTTAATTAAAATATAAATGTTTATTAAAAGCAATTGTTATAATAAAACATTTTAATATTCAATAAATATAATTAATATGAATTTTAAACAAAAAATTAAATTAAAGATTAAAAAATTATATTTTGCAATTTATATTTAAAAATAAAAAATAGGATAATTTTTTCAAATTGTTATTTTTAAATTTGTAAAATTTAAATTTATTATAAATACAATATGTACTGTATATAAATATAATTAGATACTTTATTACAAATATTATAATTTAATTTATAATATTGTATATTTAAATAATTTCAGTAATATAATTTTGCTAAATATTTCAATTGCAATAATTAATTTTTATTTATAAAATTAAGTTGACATGTTTTATTTTTATCTATTTAATCTATATTTTTAAAATTTAAAATTTAAAAAATTGTAAATATTTTTTAAAAATATATTAATTAGTTTATAGTTTTTAAATCATATTTTTTTAAGTTTAATTATTATAAATTTTATTATTATTTTTTGTTATCAGTTAAGGGACATTTCCCTCCCATTGTTGTTACACACAATATAAATTGTATTATAAAAATAACATTTTGAGTCTTGATTAAGGGAAATGTTCCGTGACTATTATTCAATCTATTAATTAGTTTTGTAATTTAAAATTTTATTTAAATATTTTAATAATATTTATTAAAAGTAATGTTATAAATTTTTTTCTATATTATTTTATAAATTCTTAAATTTTAAATTTTAATTATAGAAATAAAAGTTCTATTAATATTATAAAAAAATAAAAAAATTTATATTATAAAATATATAATGTTATTATTTAATTAAGATTTAATCAAGATTTAAAAGATTTATAAAATTTTTGAAATTTTTAAAATTTTTATTAATTTTGAATTTTTTTTTTTTTTAAAGGAATTTTCCCTAGCAGGTAAACATCATTTCTTTATTTATTATCATATACTAAATATATATACATTGAAAAAGAAACAATATCTCTTGAATGCATATTATATATAACAAGTTAAATACTAGCTTGCCTATTTGATTACTATTTAACTAATATTGTAAAAAATTTTAAAAGTAATATTAAAATATCAAATGGTGGAGTAGCAGCTATGCCTATCTACTTGATAAAATTTTATAAAATTTTTTGATTTTTTGAATATAAGAAAATGAAAAAAAAATAACAACTGTAGCTACTGAAACTAAAACCAAGTTGTCTAAGCTATAAAATCTATATAAACAAAAAGAATATTTAAAAGATGGCCAATAGTCCAGTCCTTGCACTGGTACTGATCTTAGAGATATAACTCTTATTGATATAGATAGTAGAGTATAATTGACATTGTTTATTGTTGTAGTAGTTGTTATTGTAGTAGTTGTTGTTATGGTGGTGGTGTTAAAAAACCGGTTTAAACAAATTCAATCATTTTTTTGTTGTTTTGATGGAATCTGATTAGATGATTGGAAAGCAACGATCATTTGAAGAGGGTAAACTGATTTCAGTTTTTTGGAAAAAAATTTTTGGAGATTTGGAATAGCACAGTAAGTAGCATTATGGTAAGATTATATGTAAAAGTTGTGTTAAAACAAACAATAGATCCAACAATATTGTTTAAGTGTATTTTTTGAAAGATATTTGATTTAGTAAGTATAATAGTATTGATGTGGATAGTTTTTATGATATAATTAGGGCTTCTAATGATATCACTTCGATATCACTTCGATACTAGTTCAATACTTAAATTTACTATAAAAACATATGAGTAGGTCACAACCCATATATTAAATTTACTATAGATCGGTATCATTTCGATATCAGTTCGATACCAGTTTGGTATTTTTTTGGAACCCTAGATATAATAGAAAGAAGGGGGGTGCAAGAGAATAAAAAAAAAGAGAACTGCTATAAGCCTTTCCTCATGCAACTAAAAGATAAGCAAGATTTTCAAACTTAAGTAGACTTTGACCAGAGGTCCCATCCCATTGCACCAGTTATCTTGAAGGTTTTTGAGTTCTTGAACTGGGGCTTACTTGTTTTTTTGTTTTTTTTTTAAACTAGTTTAACCTTGCTTAGCAAACTTTATTAAAGTCAATATTTACATATATTCGTATACATTTCTGTATATAAACTATACTATAACATTAATTGATAAGTGTATGCTAAACTATATCGAAGTTTCCTAGATATCGGCTGTTGCTATCAACTTTTCCTAATGGATAGAGGTTAAAACTAACGTGCCAAGGCATCGCTATTGTTAGGGCTCTGAAAAAGTACTGAACTGGTATCAAACTGGTATTGAAATGGTACCGATCTATAGTAAATTTAATATATGGGTTTTGACCTACTTATATATTTTTATAGTAAATTTAAGTATCGAACTGATATCGAAGTGGTATTGTTAGGAGCCCTAGCTATTGTTAATGTTACTAATATATAAATAAAAAAAATTGTTTCTTGTCATTTTGTCCATGTTTTAACCTATTTTTTTAGCAATTTCCTTTCCAGGTTCTTTTTCTTATTTGCTGTTATTTCTTCTTTTTCTCTATCTCTTTCAATTTCTGTTTGATATAATCTGTGTCTTCACTTTTTTTTGTCCGCTCTGCTGATGTTGTTTATCTCTTTACATTTTGCGATTTCTTTATATTTTTTTTTTCATAGCTCGTTGATTACTTTTGTTGTTCTCTTAATAATTCTTTTACATATTTCTTTTGTTTTTTCCCTTGCAAACTAATATATATATTGGGTTATCTCTTTGATCAGAATTTCCCTTATTATATAGTTTCTTGTGCACTTTGAGTTTGTGATTAATGGCATTTTCAGTTTTGAGTCTTCTTTCTCTTTTCCTTTGTTACAATTTTTTTGGTACTCTTCGGTTTCTTCTTTTATTATCTTTTTGTATTCATCTATTATTTTATATTGCCAGTGTTTGTACATTAAGTGCTCTAGGCTTTCTCTTTTCTTGCATCCTGGGCATTTGTTTGATTTGTAGATATCTGACCTTCTTTCTGCTAGCCTATTCAGTGTAGGAAGTTCGCCATTTAGTAATCTGTATCTGATTCTTCTATATGTGTGATCTTCTAGGCTTGTATATATTTTAGTTATTTTGGATTGGTGTTGCGCTTCCCAGGTAAAGTGCCAGTCTATTTGTAGCTCATCTCTATACTTAATTCATACTCTGTTTCTTCTCTCTGTTATCCAGTTTGCCATTCATTTGGTGTTTTACATGTTTTCAAGAATTTTTTGATATTTGTATCTAACTAGTATTCTCTCCAATTTAGTGTTTCCTATGCTGCTGCTCTTGGATTGGCTGTTATGATTACTTTATCTCCTTTGTTCGCTTCTTCTTTTGCCAATTTGTCTATCTCTTCATTTTTCTCTTCTCCTTGGTGTGCTTTAAATTTAATAAATGTTGTTTGTCCTTATTTTTCTTTAATGATTTTTTTAATCAGAGTTTTTGTTATCCAGTTTGCGCTTTTATAGATTTGGCAGCTTCCTTTGTTTTCTTTTTGAATTCCTTGAATGGCTGCCTGGCTGTCTGTATATATTTCGACTTCTGCTTGAACTGGAATTGTAACTAGTATAGTTAAGATTGCCATTAATTTTGCTCTTGTCAATGATGGAAAGTATTCTATATGACCTGAGTATGTAATTTTCTTTCCTGTTTCTTGATTGGTTATATGCCATCCTACTCCTATCTTGGTTTGGTTGATTGCTTCCTGGATTATTGAGCCATCTGTGCATGTTTTTATTCTTCTCCAGCTTTCCGTTTATTTGATCTTTTTGGCTAGTTCTTTTTTATTTGAGCTGCTGATTTGTATGTGTTTTGTGATTTTGTCTTCTATTTCTGTTTGTTTTCCACCAATTATGATGTTGATTCTGGTTTGTGTTTTGTTTTCTGGGTTTTGTATATTGTGCATTATTGTGCCTGGTGATGTTTGTATTCTATCCAGGTATCCTAAGATTTGACTGTAGAGCTTTGTACTGTATGTGGTTTTGGTTACTGGAATAATTATTGCCTAGTCTATTTTGATTTCTTTGGTACACCCTTCTCTTGTGTTGTCTCTGTGGTCACACCTTTGACACTTGTCTATAGGTGAATCTCCTTCTCTTTGTCGCATATGTTATACTTTTACTTTGTTATCTATTATTTTACATTTGCGATCTATTCTTTCAATATGTATTTGTTGGTTGATCATATATGCCAAGTATCTTTGCTTTTGGATGTTATGGCTTTTTGCTGCTTCTAGCTGAGAGATTGGATTGGGTCTTATTAGATTCGTCAATGTAATTGTGTACCTATTTTCTAAAATGTCTGGTTGGCTGCATTTTTCTCTGATCTCGGTGAACCATTTTGGCTGCTTGTCAGTCGGTTTACATCTTGTGGCTGCTCTGATTTGTCTCCAGTTGAGCATGCATGTTTGTTGAACTGGGGCTTACTTGTAA